CGTCGTCGTTGCAACGAGATCCATGGTCGGACAGTATGCGAAGAGAGCTGGCAGAAACGGCTCGACCACCGTGCGGGCGGATATTTGATGCATTTTTGCTTTTCTTCAGCCTCGTCTTTTGGGAGTGAGGCTCCTGCCGAACCCACTGGACGAAGGAGCTCCTTCTTGACGTACTGTAGCAGCCAGGGCCGATGTAATTTGCGAGAGAGGAGTGCAAATTCTGCGAGTTCCTCTTCGAAAGCAATCAATGTTTTTATGGCAGACTGTGCCGCGTGCAACGCGGCCCAGAACCTAAGCGGAAGCGTAGGGTTATATGCACAGGCACAACACTCTCTTCCAGAATCGAGCAAGTCAGGAGTTGTGCAGACTTCAGAAATATTCAGGTTCGTCATTCGTAGCGCTGTGCTCTTACAGATGCTGGAAATTACTGGGGTATGTCTATGTCTAAGTGTCGCCTGTCCGTCCACTTCACAATGTACAGTAGCACGGTGATTTAAAAGCCATCCCTGCCAAGCCCGCCCGCAGCCTCGTTAATACACGACGAGGCTGTCATCCATCTCACCGGTCAGCTAACTCGTCCGGCGAGAGGAAAGTCGTGACCTTAAAACCCATCATCAATTCCTGCGTACATGATATCGCTGTCTTCAAAAGCCCCATTATCTACCAATTCCCACACATGCCACTGATACGGTGGCTAGCACCACTATTCATTGTGAGATTCGCTCACAAACCTTTGCCGAAGACCACCATCACCATCTCGCAGAATCGGCGAAAAGGAGCGGATCACAAGCATGTAGACCGAGCTTGTTGCAATGTAAGGATCGCTTGCGTAAGGATGTTAGTGCTGCTGAATCATGTCGCCAAGATAACTCAATTCGTCAAGAAGTTGCTGCATGCTGCTAGAATGAGGAACAGAGGCTTCTTGAACCCCACTTACTTGAGGTTGGTAGACGTCTGCAGCATGGTCATTCACAACAAGGGGATCGACGTGGTCGACGGCAGGTGTCGGCTTAAGCGTGTTGCCTGATCCAGCTTCTTCGGTTGGCAAGCTGTAGTGTTGGAACTTGCTCCAGGAAAAATGTGCACTTTTGGCGCTGCTAACGTTGTCTTGTGAGGCCAAGGCTGTCGAAGAAGTGATCGAGCTGACAGTCGAGAAACTCGAGGCCGATGGGAGACCATCTTGTTTGAGAAAGCCGTACCCGTGACGCCCAAACTCCTGCGGATCTTCCTGGCTGTCGAGTTGAAAGTCCAGCGTTAGCCCGGGCGGTGGACTGATTGGCTCGAAATCGACAATGCTTGGAGCATACTCTGATTGTGGTGACAACCTTGTCGGTGGTGCATCTGTCCAGTCTGAGAAACGGCTGTTGTCGTTATGGATGTAACTCTCCGTACATGGTTCGGTGTCCACAGTCGTGCAGGAGAAATGGCTTCGGAGGTTTACCATATCTTTTGCTTCCTCATCTTGAATGTCTTCATCTACCGCGCTTGGTGGATATGCCGAGGACGGGGTATTTGGTAAGGTCGGTAACCTCTTCTCCAAATCTACAGGCTGTCGGCCGTCGTCTATAGCGTCGTCCTTATCGACTTTCAGAGCTGTGAGTGGCCCAACAGGTGTATTCGCAGCAGAAGCGACCTCCTTTAAGGTCTCTAAGGGACGGTAGGGGACGGTGGTGTGACTGAAGGTACTCAAGTCGGGAGAAGTGTCCAGCTGCTGGGAATTGCGTAAGGATGAGGGCTCGCGTGACAGCGAGCGTTGTCGGCGATGCTGTGCGAAAGATGAAATCGGCACAGCGGCTGAGCTCTCGGCGTCGTCACCGAAATCTTTACGCAACGCAAGCTCACGTACAGGTGCCAAAGAGGGGTTGCCTTGTCCCTCAGTGGTTGGTGAAGTCAGCGCAATGGGAGCTCGCTTCGGGGTGACGCTTCTTGCAGAGACGGCCCGTGAGCGAACCACTGGCGATCTGATACCGTCTGTGGGTGTCCGCCCCCTTTCCGGAAACCCTCCCGGGCTCATCAGGCGTGGTGATGCTAAAGCTCGAAGACCGCCAATGATGCTCACAGACCGGTTACTCCCACGTGATGTGGACCTGCTAGGCTCTTCAGCGGATGGCTTCGGTCGAACGAGTGCTAGGATACTGGCACTGGCAGGCGGAGATGGTGCACGAGATGAGGCTGATCTTCCTCTCCTGCTAGACACCGAGGTCGCGCTAATCGGCGAACTGGAAGAGGACCATGGTAGCTGTGAGAAGGTTGGGGAAGTCTTCAGACGCGGTAATGCCGGCTTTGCTGGGGCTGGCCGAGGGTTGAGGAATTTGTCTGTAGGATCCATAGTGCGGTGTTCGGAGCTTGTGGAGCTCACACTGTCATTTCGAGATCGGCCGCTGCTGCTTAGCGCAAAGGGCACGTTCAGAACATTGATTAGCTGGCCGGGAAGCATCGGACACGTGGTTGTTGACGGCTCAGCTGAATTGTGGAATTCGATCTCGTCGTCCAGTGTATACTGTGAAGGGTGTGTTGGTTGAAAGAACGTTCAGCACAGCACGGTTCCACCTACATAGTACCAGTACGTCCCACCCATCTTTAGTCCTCCTTCCCGGGGGATATTGTTGCCCTCGACACCTCCATCACAGATGATGTTGGAGAAGCTATGGCAACCTGACCAATGTTCGGGTCCGGTGCGACTGTCCCGCTGCATGGGATAAGGTGTGGAGAAGTTGTCCCAGGAGCCATAAAGTTGGACTGATCTGGTCGAAGGTGGAGTGCGGCTGCAATCAGTGAGCTTGTGTCAACGGCGACGGAGGGTCTGACGTACACTAAAAATGTGATCAGAGTTGTTGGAGCCATTGTGATGAGTATTAGGTGAAGGTGAAGGCTAAAATCAGAAGCAGAACTTTTGTCTTGTCCGAGCCAATTCCCAATTGTTTTTGCTGGGGCTTGCTGTCCAGCAGTATAACCCGGGGGTATCAGATGACGAAGTGCACAAAGGAAACGCTAATAGACCAGACCAATGGAACCAATAGCTCGTTATACAAGGCACCAGGCCACTGGGCAGACAGTATAGCGTCGCAGGGTAGAGAAGTATCTTCAAGGTGCCTTTGATGGATGAGATATAATCCAGGCCAAGGAAGGTACCGCCAACGGCATGGAGAGATCGCAGGGTCCAGATTCAGGTCTATTTCTGCACAGACGTTGAAACTGAGGTTGGCCTCAAATCATAGGCTTGGCTCCTGCGTTGTGCTCTGCAAAGGCAGCATATCTACAGGCCAAGGTGGAGTATGCCCGTTTCGGAAACCTGAAACTGGATGACAATGAGCACCGGCAAGGTGCGCGTGTGTTTGAGGATTGGACGAGCGATGACGAGCGACGTTGACTTCGAACCGAGTCCAATTAGAAGAGATGAGGTAGGCGTGAACGGCAGCAAGTCGAGTCTGTGAGGCGCCTAATGATGGTGATTACAGGAGAGCAGGAGCGATCAGGGTCCGGCGGTTACTGAGGTAAGAGTAAGGTTGTGTCGCCCAACGACGTCTGTGAGTGCGGGGAGAGCAATCGACTGGCTATCGGTGAATGGGGCGAGTAGAAGGAGTAGATTACAGTCAGAGACTGCAGGACAGGTACCTCCACATGGCGGACGAAGGTCACTATATGGATGGCGGAGAGCAAGAGATTTGAGAAAGATGAAATCAGGGCGGGAGACGCCCGCTGTCGTCAAGGCTGGGTCGCACGGAAACAATAGACTCGAACACGAAGAACTCATCTGAAAACTTGCCACTGAAGAACGGGTAACGTTCAAAGTGCCCGTCCACTCACCTCGCCAAGGTCCCGTGTCACGTTGTGAATCTTGACAGGCATGTCACTCCTGGAGCGAACTCCTGCGCCCTCGGTAACTCAAGCGAGAGACCAGACTTGTTCGACTCGAGACACAAGTCGATCGGAAGTCAATTCGGGTCAAGCGCCGAGGCTAGGGTCGTGCGGGTGGTGCACAGATTTCTGGAACCGGCCAACGTGCATGACAGACGGCCAGAAAAGGCGCAAACGGTTTTTGATAAAGCACGACAGGGCAAGGCGGCACTGAAACCGTGATGAAGTGGATGTCAACAAAGGACAAAATCAAGGATCCAGCTTCAAATCCAATTTTAGAGCGCTACATGTGGCTTCTTGATTGGCCCGCACTAGTCCTGGGCCGGCCACAAGAGGTTAGACTCGGATGACGAGGGCCGGAAAACAGTTTGACTTTCTGTTGATCCGGCTTGCCCCCAGCCTCCATGTGCTCCCAACGCAGCTGCAGCTCAATGTCCCTTAAACGGTGTCGCAGACAGTTGTCAAGATGCAAGAACAATAGTCATCTCAGGATCAAACAGATGGCCATGTACAGCGATGAAAAGTATTCGCAGGCTCGCGTCTCCCTTTAGGATGCAGGGCCCTTTTCCATGTGTCAAATGGTCATCAAAGGGTAGCCGCCGACCTCCTTCCGACACCTCAATTTACCGGGGATCAGCCACTTGGAATGGTCAAGCGAGGGTCGGACCCTGGTACCTGGATTCGTCCTGGCCTCGCCTCGAAGCTTGAATCGTGACGAATAGGCCCACGTGGTGCCCGGTTTCGAATTCTCGAATTTACAGAATCCCCAGACTCGACCTGCGCCTGCAAACGATTATTGTGCTCAAGATATGGTTTTATACATACATGTTATGTGGTTAGGCGATCTGCACGCCGGACGACCGTTGCATCGTGATTATCGCCAGGCACCACGCACCATTCCGCGGTTGAGATTCTCGACACCTCGGAGCAGCAAATCTCAATTTTTGAAACGCCCAAGACTGTCGCTCAAAACTGTCGCAAAGCGTATACGCGTACACTGTTCCAGGTGCCCGAGCATGTACCATCCTTGATGGGTGATGCGAATCATGCCCAAGGCGTGGATGTCGGGCAGAGAAGCTTTTAGGAGAGTCGTTGTTCATGAAATAGTTCAGTTATCGCCGGCCGAAATGTTAAAAAATTTGTCATCTTCGCCGTCTTCTTCTCACCTCAAAGCCGTCCTCGTCAATATCGTATTCTTCCTCGGTGCTCGACTCTTCAAACCCTTGGGTGCTCCCCGCGTTCTGATAATAAGTGCCCTGATCCTCATTTCCCCATACTGAACGCGGGTCGTCAATATTCTCAATGCCATGATTGCTCAACATCCATCGGCCCAGACCGACCACGCCCTCGTAGGCTTCTTGACCAGTCGGCAGAATGTGTGACCTTGGCAGCAAGAAGCCGTATGTCCCGGTATCTCTGAGCTTGATTTGGAATGCCAGCTTAACGTCCAAATCGTGGTAGAAGAAATCCAGGGCCGAACCACCTTGCGCTTCTATCTGAACCCGAGTCTGTTTTGTTTCGCTCTGGACAGCAATGTCGCCCTCGCAGGCACTTTCCACGTTGTAGAAGTGTCCGTTGGCTAGGCGGAACGATTTTGCTATGCCTAGCGCAACTTCTTCCAGATCCTCGAGGTTTGGAGGAGCCGTGTCACACGTGTAGCTGTATGGATACAGCACCTCCTGCGAATAGGAGTGGAAATCCAGATATGACACGAAGGAGACATTGTTGTAGGCTGTCTCATTCCTGGCCCACTCTGTCAGTACTTGAGCTTCGACAGCAGCAAGCGGCTCTGGACCAGCATAGTCGTCACTACAGGCATTATCCCTATTCCAGTGACCGTCCCAGCCAAACCGGAATGCACGATCCAAATCGATGCCGGGACAGAACGGAATGGACGTAGATTGTCGATTTTTGCGCCATAATCTGTCAGTTGTCCAGGTGTACTCATATCCGTCAGGATTTAGAACAGGAATGAAGACCAAATCGAAGTGATCAAGTATCTTGGTGACCTCGGAAAACTGAGGGTGACCATACCGAGTGACGAGACTGTAGGCGATGAAGGCAACTGTCGATACTGAAATCCACTCGCGTGCATGAGTGCCTCCTACTATAAGCAATGTATGCCTAGAATCGTGAGAGTCCGCCGTGGTGGAGTTGAACCGGGAGCCGATCCGTAATGCTGGGATATCGCGACCTTCAGCAGATGTGCCGATAGTGGTCAAGGATGCGTGGGTCGGAAAAAGGGACGCGAGCAGACGCAGCCACGGATACATGACGCTGAGAGGCTGGTAGTCCTGGAAGAACAGGTCATGAGGTGTGTTGCCCTTCAATCGCCAGTCGGGCGCATCTGTGAGGCTCGACATCAACGCCCTTTCGTGCGTCGAGGACGAGTCGGGGTACGTGTCGTAAACTGCCCGAGCGATATCGTGTATCAGGGGGACGTATGAGTCCTGCAGCGATGGCGGGAGGAGTCCAATAAAGGAAGGCACCACTTCTTTTGCTATCCTTATGTCCACCCACTCATTTGTTGCCTCCCAAATGTCCAAATACAGGATATCTGCCGCTTCCGATATGGTCTTCGCCTCTTCCTGCGTCTTGACTCGGAAGCGCAATACAACATCAGCGCCATAGCGAGCGCGAAAGCCTTCGGGCGCCTTCGGTAGTCTGAAGCCTAGGGAGGACTGGTAGGAGGATTTGCTGGGGATGGACCAGATCCCTTCTATAAGGGCATTACGTAGCTTTCCGAATAGCCCTGCTGGCTTATCTCGGTGCGTAAAGGCGACTTTCGGCGCAGGGGACGTGTGAGGCAATGACTCGCTGGTCGGAATAGCAAGGGCGGAAGAGACGATAGTTGCAAGTATAAATATGTCGCGGAGGAAAGGTGCCATGGCGGGCTTGAGGAAACTCTGTTACCGTGTCATGAGAAGCGAGGTGGCCGACGGAGCAATGTTAGATAGCTCTCTGAAGGGGAAACTGAGCACGAGAGCAGTTTCAGGGAGTGGGGAGCGAGCGAGGGGAAACGAATGATGGAATTTGAGTGGTAGGTATCTGGACCAAGACCGTTTCTCCCTTGCAAAGGCAATTGTACAGGCAAATGCACCTGGTGAGTAGGTGGTGAGGGGAAGTGAAAGATATGAAGACGCGATGAAGAAAGTCTAGATAGATGGAACCTAGGTATCTCAGGCATAAGTACTCCGTACTCCGTATGAGAGCTGGATTGTTATGGAGCAGGAAACAGCGTTGCCTGCAACACTCCGCCTCCTCCATCGACAACGACGCCCAATCGCATGACAGTCTCTCAGTGACTGTGGGGACATGCATTTTGTGACCGCCAATCGCAGCATGGCCAGCAAGATCGCTGAGATGAGGTTTCGGCCACCTGTTCGGACTTGTGAACTACTTTGCGGGTTGCCGAGCCAGCACTGTCAATTGTCACAGTCCTTAAGAATCTCACTATGTCGTGCGACTGACGGCAGTTGAAGGCACACGTAACGAGTCTGGTTTTTCGTCCTATGCTTGGACGATAACAAATCATCTCTATGCACCCACTGAAGTTCAAAGCATCCAGCCACTGTCGAAGTCTCATCTACACCTTGTATTCCTCAAGGCCCCATTTCCAGATGGTCGCATACGGGGTCATGCCATCCTCCCGGAAGTCGACCAGGACATACATGCCGTTCTCATCCATGGATTCACCCTGGTAGATGTCGTAGTTTTCCCAATTGCCTAGGATCTTCTTGGCTGCAGCTGGTGCTTCGGACTGGAACTTCTTGATATCCTCTTCCGGAGTTCCCTTCTCCTTCAACTTCTCGGTCAGAGCCTTCATGTATTCTGGTAAAAAAGTCAGTCGGTACCGTCCAAACGCTTATGGCTACCAGAACGTGCGACTTACTCTTGAGCTCACCCTGATATGCCTTCTTCGACATGCCGCCCTCAATTTTCTGTAGACGGAATTGATCGGCCAAATCGAGGACTGTCACCTTGGTATCGTCGGTGCCGTCTTCGGCATCTTCACCCTCGGCAGATGGGTTGGCGCCCTCCAGTGCTAGTACGCAACAAGTCAGCACAGGCTTCGAGTCGGCGAGAGACGTGTGCGTCGCGACTGACCGAAGTTCTCTGCTCCTTTTGTGACCATCTTGCCATCAATCTCCCATAGTCCATTACCGGCGTCGATGATCTTGGAAGTGTCAGACGCAAGCTCGTCGCCGCTGATGAGGTCCTAAGATGACAAGCGTCAGTTTGCGACATCAAAGGCGGGGGCAAAAGTCTTCATGGATTTCGCCTAGAGATTCTACATACCCTATAAATGATCATTTTGACAGAACGCTGAGCACGCAAGGAAGTGGAAGAGGAAGTCGTGTGAGGGAGACGTCGAGAGGTCAAGTTATTGAGTGAACTGGCGGGAAAAAAGAATCAACGCAGGCTGTCAACGAGGGGCTCGACGATCGAATTCCGGTCCACTCGCAAGCAGTGTGGGGTTGCATTCACTGCCACCAAAAAATTCTGTGGCTTCTCGCATTCACGTGACTGCGAGGATCTAATCTAATCCATAGTGCTCCATAATGGAGCGCGATTCGCCCGGGTGGCCAATTTCGCGCATCATCACTGTGCACTTCATCTCCGGCAACTCCTGAGGCCCTGATCATCTCAGCATTTGTTTTCTGTGTTCAAAGGTCTCTCCACCTGTGCGACAAGCTTGTCGCCTTCACACTCTCTCACTCTCCTTTCTTCGCTGAGTCTCCCTTTATTTACTCTGTTCATTCCTCTATCAGGCCACCTGCCAGGGAGATCCGGCCTCTGTCCGACATTCCTTGCACCGTCTTCCGCGCCACCCGCGCACGACTCCTATAATACCATCGACATACCTGTAATCGTTACGACAAGCACCTCGGATTATCCGTGCTCCTGAGCCATTCTCTTCGCTGCATGGTCAAAAACATGGCGAACGTTAATCTCCCAGAGCTGCCTCCTCTTCCATCTTATTCCTTGAGACCCCGCCCACCAATGCTGCCAGGCATCTCAGACCCGGTGCTGCAACTGCTCTCGCCTGTCGTGGCCTACTGGGTCGTTTCTGGCTTCTTCCATATTCTAGACGTCTATGATCTGTTCTCAAAGTACAGGCTGCACACTCCAGCCGAGGTCCTCAAGCGCAACCATGTCACCAGATACGAGGTGCTCAGAGATGTCATCCTACAACAGATTATCCAGACAGCATTTGGGCTGCTTATCGCGCAGTTTGACCCAGTCGAGACCATCGGGCGAGAAGAGTATGATATCGCAGTCTGGGCTCAGCGCCTGCGGCTAGGACAAGGATACCTGCCGGGCCTGCTCAGCGTTGTTGGCATCGACTCCTTTTCCTTGGGGAGAAAGGTGCAGCAGAGCCATCCTCAGCTTGCAGGAGCATTGTCGGGAGGGATATACCCGACATGTTCATTCGCGTCATGGGAGACGACAGCCGCCAAATTTATCTACTGGATCGGCATGCAGCTCGTCCAATTCACCGTCGCCATCCTGATCGTCGATACATGGCAATACTTTCTCCACCGCGCCATGCATATGAACAAGTTCCTCTACACCACCCTCCATGCACGACACCACCGGTTGTATGTCCCCTATGCATACGGGGCTCTTTACAACCACCCTTTGGAAGGCTTTATGCTTGACACGCTTGGGACTGGTGTAGCATACCTGGTGACAGGCATGACTGTGCGCCAAGGCATGGTTTTCTTCACCTGTGCTACAATCAAGACAGTCGACGATCATTGTGGCTATGCCTTCCCATGGGATCCATTACAGCATATAACCTCAAACAATGCCGCTTATCACGATGTACACCATCAGAGCTGGGGCATCAAAACAAACTTCTCCCAGCCATTCTTCACCTTCTGGGATCGCATTCTTGGCACCGCATGGACTGGCGGAGATGTTTCCGCCCGCTATCAACGCGACAGAATCGCTGCCCAGAAGAAGGTGGACGCCGATGTCGCTGGGGCTCGCCCCTCAGTGGTCAACTCGCCTGAGATTGACATACAGTATGCGCAGCAACAGGCTCGTTCAAGTCAAAGGCATGTCCTTGACGACATACAACATGGTGGACCTCAAGTCCTCGAGGAGGAAGCTAGGGAGGAGAGAGAAGTAAAGTCACCCTCACGGCGAAGCACGAGACGCAAGAGTGGCTTTGATGCCAAGTCAATATCGGACCATATTGCAGGACTCCATTCCAGAAGTCCTGCGATCCTCCACGCAGACGGCATGCACTGAGGAGTGCTTTGTATAAACAAACTAATGCACGCGCTTTTTTCATGGTACAATTTTGGAGTCAACGCACGTGGGACACTGGTTTACAGCTTCTCGGAAAGGCTTATGTGCCTTCTCATGGTCATTGCAGGGTTTCCCGATCATGATAATGTGTATGATTATGACTGGACCAGCTTCAGAAGTCCTCAAATGGCACAGTATAACAAAACTCGACTTCTACTATATTCTAGCGGTCAATTATCCCTTTCGATGAGCACCAGAACACATTTACTCACAGTAGGTTCCATGATCGTGCTTGCGCAGACTGGGGACTTCGACCCATTATGTTGGGTTCTTGCTACTTATCGTTGATGAACAAAGAGCTGCCGACTTTCTATATTCTCATCCACAAAGGCTCTTTGTGTCGTCCTTCAAGTCCATCCTTTGGAGATACGGGGTCGTTCTTGTCGAATCTTCTTTGTTTCATTGTCGTTAGCTATGATATCATGGGTTGTGCCTGTCTGGAGTGTCAACCCTCTCCTATTCTCCTTTCACAAATTGCGCGGCTCAGCAAACACCATTCTGGACGGTAATCACCAGACTTGTCGCAATCTCATTGAGCTCGAAGTCCTCGCAACCTCCTACCTAACACCAACGCCAAGTCTCTGAATTACGACCAGGTGAGGCTCTGTAACCACTAGTCCTGTGGAGAAATCGCTTACAAGATGCATATTCAAGATATTCCGCAAAAATTTATCCCGCCACTTGCGAAACTGTTGCAGTTCCGACCTAACGAGGATCCAGAGGCTCTCTCACTGAGAATTGCCCTGGGGACAAAAAGCCTACCCTCATCTCTCCGATCCAGCCGGCTGGAGAACTTCCTATTGCCTTCCCGTGGCCATCTATGCTCGCTTCACAAGTGCCTCCATCCCGACGTTGTTCGATCAGTGCTTCATCATGTCCAGCTCGAAGTCGGCATTCGCCTCAATAATGTAATCTCTCACAGTGAGATGCTAGCACCAGAGCTGTACAGCCGTGTCAAGAGGCTACGAGAACTGCATGCCCTGTGGCTTGACTCTAGAGAATACAGGAGGACCTTCATGGCTTCATCTTGGGATCTTAAGTGGAAGTATCAAGCTGACCGGTGCGAAGCATGCATGCTCTCGAAGATCACAAGCGATCTACAGATCCTCCTTGACCTTAGGTGGGCGTTCCGCTCACGCGCGACCCGTGCTTTCGTCGCGAAATACGGCAATCCTAGGCTCCAGCAATGGGTCCACGTTTGGATTGCAACATTGGCAGGATTTGTTGAAGAGACCATCGGTACCGCCATTGATCTCGATATGGTCATCCTGCACAATGATGAGGAAGCTATTCTGATGAAGAAGACGAGGGCTGAGATCGCCGCCTTCAGGCAACGAACCCATCAGTATCGGAAGAGCGGACCCGCCAATGGAGCATACATGACACAGGTCCCGTACGATTGGAGTTATCCAATCCAGTCCGCGCCCCATCAACCAAAACCGCAAGAGCTTCCTGCGATCCAGGATGCGACTGGAGTTCAAGCCGAAGAATTCATTGGAGACACAAACGAAGCCCATCTTGAAGGTATGGACCCCTATGAAGCATTAACAAGCACCCCATATCTCCCAAGAACAACGTACTCACCACCAACCAAGCAGCCATCTGAAGCAGTTTTGACCATGAGCACTGTTTCCGCTGACCGTTCTTCCAAAGGCCGGAGCCCGTATGGACAGAGAGAGTCCGTGCGAGAATCGAGTGCCAGTATCCGTGTCTACTTGGACGAGCGTCTACACGTTGTCATGGAGAATGATCAAGATGCCGCGCACGAGGTGGCGCAGTTGCAGCAAGAATACATTCCACCTAGGTCCTTGTGGGAGAAGTCCGCACCTCAGGAGCCGGCACTTATATCGTCGACACTTCTGCCTCGTCCAGACACTACTCAAGGCCTGACCCGTCCAAGTTCCGTGGTCTCAACAGACACCTGGGAGAGATCTACCAACTCATCGAGACAATCTTGGAAGACTGAACAATGCGTAACGGCGGATTGCGGTTCAAGCGTCTATTCATCCCCACCGAAAACCCCGGGCCGAAATGCCTATCAGTCTCCGAGTGAAAGCTGGCGCAACCTCTCGAGGGTCGCCTCTGTACCCAACAGCACTTCGAGAGAACGGCGTCCCCCAAAAGCACAGAATCTCGATCCCGCACAGACGTACACTAACCTTTTGCATTCCTCGCCCTTCTCAGAGTCAAACGCCACTTTACGGCAACTAACCCCGAAACCGCAACAGCAACAGCGTTCAAGCCCAGCACAGGTACGTTCCCCCGGCAAAGAATCCGACTCTGCTCCAGCCTCTGCATCTACGCTGTTTCTGAGATTATACAACGAGGTCAGTCGTCCTGTAGACTTAGCCACGTCGAAAGTTACAAACCTCCGCAATTTGTCAGTTACGCCTGGGAGACCGGTCGATCTTAGCGCGGATGGCCACCAAGTCTCATCTGAATCGAGAGGTGGACAATGCGAGCAATCGCTGCCAGCACCAGTCATGGCCTCGACATCCTCCAAGCCAGACACGCCAACCACGCCACGCGCACCCTGTGCAACACAGAGACCAAAGTCTGATTCCACGGAACAGTTTCTCAAGCTCTACGACGAAGTTGTCTCGTCGTACATGCCTTCGCCAGGTCAAGTGGTGGGGCAACCATGCTCATCGAAGCTTCCTCAATCGACCTCGACTTCCGTCTCCACGGTTACGAGGGAAAGATTAACACCTGAGAGACTCTCTCCCCAAATTCGTCCCGCGCAGCTTTCGGAGAACGTCGACCGCGTCGTACGCAATACCACTAAAGTGACCACCTCGAATGCTCGCGACGGTAGTCGAGCCAGAAGTAATATCGCAAGGACCGTGACTACGACTCCATCGCTGGTCTAAGATTCGACCCTCACCAACGACTCCTCGCGTACCCCCCACAAGCAGGAAGAAAGCGTCAAGGATGATGATAGTGGCAGTGATGAGAGTCGTCACACGACTTGGAGTTCAGCCTACGCGAGTCACCTCCAGGGCAGGGAGGATTTGGGATGGTATTACGGTGGAGACAAGGGTAAAGGTAAGCAGCGTAGATGAGCAGAGCAGAGCAGAGCAGAGCAACGAGCAGGAGAGGAGAAGAACGCTTTCCCCGTTGTAATTGAGAAAGAATGTGAACCAGGACAAGGGACGAGGTCGGAGTCTGTGTTGACTTCGTAATGTACCTTTGTAGGAATACTAGGGTTGAAGACCGTACGTACATACCTAGTACACATTTACCGGATCCCGTGGATCAAAGTACTTGAATGTAGGACAACGTTAGTATATTTGTTTCGGGTGTTCGATGGCGTCCATTTATTCAGCCAGGTTGCGGGACGAGGTTTCGGATGCAGGGCTGGGTGCGCATTGCGTGGTCGTGAGGAGACTCGCAGCCGCAAGGAGGACGGCACTGCATAGTAGCTTCATAGCCGGGAAGTGTTTGTACGGTAATTATTTTGCTGAAAGGGCGAGTGGCATGTGGAAGGGGGATGTTGCTTCATTCGCCGGGTACGCTCCCGATATTGATTGACAAGTTTCAAGTCGTTCGTCCTGTACACAATGGCCGTGGACCAGTGCCTCTCATAGCCCATTCCCCTACCTGATTTCACGATCCGAGAGCTCTACAAGGCCGCAAGCTGACACATACGCACTGATGCAGGGACGAATGAACGGAATTGCGACGGCGAAACCTCAGCTTGGACCGACCCTAGCAGGAGGAACACAAGCGGGACAAGTCCTGTGACGGATAATAGCATCCCATATCGTCGGTGGAAACGATGGTTGCTCCCGATTGAGGCACCGTGGTCGCCGCCAAAACCCAAGCACACCGCAGTGGAGAGGACGAGTCGAGCTGCGCACGACATTTCAGATACGTCGTGGAAAGTCACGCGCTTCCAAAGGGGGCTTCTGCTCGATGCTGCCAGTGGTTCGGAGACCTTGTTCGCCGGTCTGTCGATACAAAGTGATCGCATTGTTCGACGTGCCAATGCTTGCCAAGTGGCGTTGGACACGGGCAGGGTCAGGTCAGCCTCGTCAGCCGCGCCTTTTGGAACGAGGCACCGCGATGGCCACCGAGAGGGAGCCGACGACATCAGGACCCAGCTGAGTAATCATTTCGTGAAGACCGCCTTGGTGAGTGGTTGGCATTTTATGATTGTTCCCGAATTGTTGGCGTGAGTCTTAGCTTCTTTCATTTTCATGAGAAATGCTGGCTCCCGTGGTTGGATTCCGTCGAACAGCTCGATTTGATCGTGTGGGTCACGCATTGGCATTCCTGCCCTCATTGGTGCATGATGGAGATGTAGTTTGCAAGAGAGGAGCTGCAGCTGAGAAAGGGGAAAGGAGCTCGTACAGTGCGGATGGCGGGGAGAGTCGTTGTTGAGACTAAGACGAGGACAACGGAACATCCGCTCTTTAAAAATGATGCTCAGCTGTGTGTAGGGCTGCACATGAAAAACGCGGCGGTGAGGAATAGCCAGAGAATCGTGGCATGTTCAAATCATCGTAAGAACCTCTGCGAAGCTGGAATGCTGTGAAGGATCGAGAGATCGGACTCGGTAGAATCTTGGCTATTGACGAGGCTGTAGCCTCGTTTGCTGGCATTTTCCTTGTTGTCTCTGAGGCACTACGGAATACTTGAACTGCAATTCAAAAACTCGGATGCTTACAGAACTAGGCTGGAGCCCCATGGAGCGTATCGCTCTGTGGAAGTTTCCGCTGACCTATCCTTCAAACACACCAAACTGTCTCTCTCCCTCCCGGTGACCTTCAGCGCTCGAAATCGCCTGGCGTCGCAATTTCCAAGTTCCAACCAACCCTGTTTCTAGACCAACACGTAATCATCCTCATCGCAGTGACATGACTGATCAGGCTGAATCTTGTTCTTTCCTCTGACAAAAACATATTCATCTCTATCCTCATCATGCGGGGTTCGAAGCTGCGCCGTCACTTGACTACTCTCGGGCAGTCCAGCTTCGAGTCTATCAAACGTCACATCCTTGAACAGGGTGAGGCCGAACAGCGTGAGGCTCACAGTAGGATAAACGCTCCTCATGATTGCAATCTTCCAGCGCTCCGCCGTGCGTGGATCTGGATGCAACCAAGAATGGTCCTCTTTGACTGCTTTAAGGAGCTCCTCGATCGTCCAGGGGTAGGCGTACTTTTGTTGTGGCGAAAGGTCGCACCATGGTGGCTCGTTCGAGGAGGAGGTGTCATCAGCGCTGTGAGCGGCTTGGGTTTCCGGGGGTTGGGATGAAGCGAGCTCGTTGACATTGGCTTTGTCGGCCGGCGTTCGGTCCATTGAAGGTGTTCCGTCGCGGTTGGTGGCGAGGTCTGGACGCAGATCAGGTAAGTGGTCGGTAATGCGAAGGTGGTGGGGGATGATTTACGGGCAGTGTTTGACACCGGCGGTGCAGATATGGTTGCAAAAAGCTCGTAGCGAATATCCCGAAGTGTTTGTAGCGGATGTGAAGCTGTTGTCCTTTATGTGGCTAGGTTTTCTGGTGAGCTCACTGCATGGTAGGCCGCGTGGTATTCGCAAGAAACAGTCTCTCAAAGTAGTCGGCACATATTCCCTAATGCTGAACTTCACTTGTGCAGTCGAACGTTACTTGAGAGGTGGATGTGAAGACTCGGTCAACTGTGAATAAGTCCAAACTGCCTCAAGCAATTTTGCGTCTTCACTTCCGTCTGATCATCTCGCACAGTCTCGGCGGTCTGACCTTTCATTGGGCTGGTCTATTTCCAGATTGCCCTTCCCTTTTGGCTCAGTAGCTCATTTTGATCTGCTATAGGAAGTGCTTGTCAAGACTGCAGTGGCCGCATGTCCGTCCATGGCGAAGACTGTTGTGCGCAAGAGCGTGTCGAAGCCATGCAGTATGCGGTACGATGACGCTTCGCTTCACTCCAACAGCTTCTTCAATTCTCCAAATTCAGAGATCCTCTCCTACAGTGCCTTCTTAGCCTCATCCACATGCATCTTTACCTCCGGTCCCGACGCCTGCGCCTTCTGTGCCCAGGCTTGAGCTTCGACGGCCGCCACATACTGCTCCATAGCCAGCTCCAGTTTCTCCTTTGCCTCTCTCAATCTTTAGATGGTTCGATCTCGTCCCAACACCTTGATCCGCGCCACGAGACGCTTCTCGCTTTCCACGTCCTGCAATTCACTGCGTTCCATGTCGTCAACCGCTATGATCGCCTCCAGTTCGTCCGTGATGTCTTTGAAGAGCACGTCGTTGAGGTTAGGATCAGCATCTGTCCGCCGAAGAGCAAAAAGCTCGTGGACTAGAGCGTAGATTTCCTCGTCCGCGATCGCTGGCATCATTCTCAGAGAGCTTGCTTCGTGTTAGCTTTCCGCTCCCGCTTGCCTAGCGGAAATAGTCTGGGTGACAGACCTGAGTGAAATGACGAGGGTTGTGTATGCAAACCTAACAAATCGAATGTGGCTTTATGGGATAAAGCAATTCGGTAGTCCGACTGTTCGATATAGTCTGGCGGAGTTGTGATGATAAGACATTGAAATGGACGAAGTGGGTGTATATAATTGCCTTGACGTGAAGGTGCAAGAATTGTGGCAAGAGTGCTGTCGCGCCTTCACTCCACTGCCCAGAAGTGCCTCGCCATCGCACGTTCAATTGAAGGCAATTCAGCTTGCTCTTAGAAATCTTGGCCTGATTCTCACTCAGTCTTGCGCCGCTTCGCCGGACTCTGGACTTCGTGCTCCTTGACTCCGGTGGCATCGTGAAGTTCTTGTTTCGTAGCGGATGAGCCTGATCGGTGTGGACTCTGAGTCGGGCCGTCCTGCATGCTCGCGTTCGTGCCATTGCCAAGCTGGGCCCCTGTGGCAGTCGCCTTAAAGTTGGAGATCGCCTTCTCACCCGCACCGACACCGCTGCTGATTGTGTTCCTTGGCTCAGTCGCATCGAAAACCATCGGCTCAGTGGCACCGTTTGCTACTCCCTGCTCACCCTTTGCTGCGGGAGCCTGGGTCTGCGTCGTCTGAGTCTGCTCCCCATGGTCAACTCCTTGCTCCTTGGCTTTTCTCTTGGACTTCTTACTCGTCTTGTTATTTGAATCCAGCTGCTTCGCTCTATTTATTTCGTCCTTCTTCTTTCTGTTCTTCTCCATCGACTCTTGTCTTGCCGCACGTTTCTTTTCTTCCTCAATCTTGACCTGTTCAGCGACATCAAGGCGGGCCTTCTCTCGTTTCTCCTCCTCAATCTCGAACTTCTTGGATATGGCGGGGAAGAGTCTCCTCATGTCCTTGATCTGCGAGACCTTGATGCGCATGAGGTCAAATGCCACAGCGATAGGAAGCTCGCGCGCAGCATCGGGTTCAACCCAGGAGGACGAGGACGACGTAGGAGCGAGCTTTTGCGCGGGCTCATGGGCAACATCATCGTTTATAAGGTTGGTGCCGTTGGTCATCTCAGCATCCACCTCATCCAGAAGTTCCCCCTCGGAGACGGGCTCGGGCATTTTGACACTGCTGAATACAGGCATCTTTTGGTACCGCTGGCTGAAGTGCGTGAGGATGAGATTTTTCGCGCGCATTCCTAGAGCAACGCCAACGGCCTCACCAGTTGTACTGTGTTTCTTGGCCCTTGCATCCCCTTCCATGCCATCGTCAAATGTCGCCTCGTGCACAAGAACATCTGAGTCGGCACCAATGTCACAGAAATTCTCACTCGGCCGACAGTCGCCACTGTAGGAGAATTTGAACCCATTCTTGAAGGTGACCGAGACGGCCTGCGCTCCATGACAGTGATTGACCCGCACAGTCCGCCATTCTTTGATGTAAGAGTCGTTCTTCCCTATGTCAAAGGGCTCTCCACGGTGCAACAACCCTTGAGAAGCGTCGCAAGGTACCGGCGTGCAAAGTGCGTCCGTTGGCAGCCCCAAAACAGATTGGTATTCGTCCACGTAGTCCAACATGTTGATTTCCGACAGCAGGTAAGGTGGCGATGGAGACACACCCTCCGACCCGGCCAGTCTCCCCACAGTCTTGTGTACCGCTTTCAGCACCGAAAGGGTGCCGAGATGATGGTCAGCGTGAAGGTGAGAAATCCATATCGCTCGCAAGTTGAATAAAACATCGTCCAGTTGTTGTGCGTCGTACAGTCTCTTCAACTGACCAAGCGTGCCTTCTCCGCAATCGAACAGGTAGTTTCCCATGCCCTGTGGCATGCGTAAGAGTACTGCTGAAACATTGCGATATTTCGAAGGAGCTGCAGAACCGGTACCCAAAGTAATGATCTCTGGTTCTTGTAAGTCCGCACTTGGAACGAAAGCTGAAGTGGCAGCCCGGTAAGATGATATATCGTCCGGTAGCAGTTCTTGGACTTCTGGTTCCATAACAGTTGTGAACGAGGCAGAGTCAAGGTTCGAAGGTACGTCTTTCTCGTCGATGGCGAAAGTTGGCTCGATATGCACTTTCAAGCCTCTTTTTGCCAGGACGACCTGCGGATCGGCGACCAAGGAGCGAAGCTCGGGCCCATACTTATCCAGCGCAGGACGGTACGCTTGTGAATTGTCGAAACGAGGAATCGAGAATAGACTTGGGGCGATTTGAGCCAGCTGGCTCGAAGATAAGGCGCTGGAATCGTGAGTAAGGTGGTCGTTACAAAGGGACGCATCCGACATGATGTGCTGCATGTGCCTCAGTTGATGTAGTAGATTTTGGAATTGCTCGGTTCGTACGACATCTTGCCGGGTGATCCAGACCGCGGCTTCAATACCGTCCAAAAGCTGGTCCATCTGCTTGCTTAGGTTCCGTGCAAGATCATCCAGATGGCCGACAGAGGGCACGTCGAACAAGGCAAGACCTCTCCCAGGTCGAGTGGGGCTTAGGACCATCTCCGAAGTGATCATCATGCCGCTACCATCGTCGCTCTCGACCGACCTACCTGCTGCCAGTTGGGCGAATTTCGGACCAGGTTTCATACCTAATGCTTTGGCTTTTGTCACGTCGAAACTCCCGCGTTGAGGGTGGCCCTTGATAATGTAGGACATCACGGCCCCGCGAGGCAGACCTGATGCTGGGGCCAGCTCCTCGACAGTAGAGGCAGGCCAGGGATTACGATGGCGGACAACAGAGTCTGGTGAGAGCGGCGTGTTATCGAGATCAAGGACTGGACAAGAGACTAGGGTCTTTGTCTCGGGATCGCGCACGTAGACAACGGCAGGAAGCTTGATGTCCTTCAGCTTGGATTGGAATAGCTGATCACGTCTCCAGTCGGAATCGAACATGTTTCTGACGACTTTCTTCCGAATTTCCTGCTCGGTTTCCAACTGTGCTTCATCGATTGCGACATCATCGATGCTGGTAGATGCGTCTCGAGTCAAGAGTGCCCATACACGGATATTTTCATCTTCATGAATAGGGTCCTGGTCGGTAATGGTTTTGCGAGCACCAACCTCATGCACTGACAACGGCATCCCCGTCCGGAAGACAAATCTCCTGGCACATGCCAGCGAGTGCATTTGCATCGGACCCGCGTGTATGTCCAGCCTCGGGCGCTTGACACCGTCTTCATCCAACTCTGATTGCTGGACATCAGACATGGTAAGGATCATGCCAATCAGCCCTCCGTTGTTCCAATGAGTTTTGCCTGCGAGGAAGAGACCTCGGACTTTTTTCAGCCCGATGCCACGTTGTATACATGCCCGCTGCGTGCCCTCGGTGATCTCTCCAAGAAGATATCTCTTCGTTGCGAAGTGGAGAAGTAGGGTTGTGCCCGGGGTATCTGAGGTGGGAGTCGTAATGAACTCGAAATGGAAGTTGGTGCGCACGCCTACAGAGGCGGCGCCCGCCCTCTGTTGTGCCATTCGATCGAGGTTGTCGACGTTCGGTGTGGAAAGATCCGGTGATAAATCCGGATCTTGTTCACCTCGCGAGTTGTAGGATCTCTGCGGCAATCTGGGAGGATAGTGACTTCGAGCGTTGAGGGATATCTCCTTCAGGCGGGCTCTAGGGGTATGAGGACTTCTTGCTCGTATGCCAGTCTTTGCTTCATCCCAGTAGCGAGGCCAGTGCAGCGAGGAATTGTTTTTCTCGCTCAAGTCGAGCTGCTGCCACGGCCACAAGAGCAGACTGTGCGAAGAAGAACCCAGGCCAGATTGCAGACGCCGATCGGATTTGATATAGGAAGAGAAGGAGAGGCGCTCAGAGAGAGCAGGATACCTCGCAGGGAGTAGCCTGGGGGTGGATGCCTTCCGAAAGACACAGGTCGAGATAGCCACGACGGATGGGTTGAGAAGGAATGTGTCACCGCATGTTACAGCGCAACTGACTCTGTGAAGGAGAAGTTGCGTCTGAGCAGAGTATTATCAAATCAAAGAATGAGTCACGGCAAACGAGTGTCTGACTAAGTCTGTCTTTTATTGCAATTGCAGTCTGTCAATCGTGTGCAAAAAAGTTGAGATGGTTGTGGACAAGGCTGCAACTTTGCCTTGCGTCACCATCCGCACATGGTACGGCGTCCGGACGTGGAGAACACCTCAGGAGAACACCTCAGAAAGACGATCTATACGTGACCTGCCCTCACAATACTTAATGTTCATTCTAAGAGACAATGGATACTTGAACTGATAAATAAAGTGTAATTTGAAGAGCTATGAGCTGGCATCGATGAAATGAGCAGAACGAACCGTCAAGGGCTCTTGAGTTCCTCCCACAAGCCTAAGCACCCGATAGTGTAAACCCTTGGAGTCAAGCCTTCATTCCATATGTGATGTAAACTCAGCGAGCTTCACACAGCTGTCATCCAGATCGTCGCACATTCTTTTTAGGTTGGTCATGCTTTCCTCTTCTGAGATATCTGCGGGCTCTTCCGCATGATTGGAGTCATTCCCTTCCGATGAGCAAGGATATTCAGAGGCAGGCGAGTTAAAGTATAGCGCGAAGACGTCCTGGTCGAGGGCTATGGAGTTATCAACCTCTGAGACCTCTGCAGCAGTGGCGGGCATCATGGAGGGAGACAGCTCTGGAAGTCGCGGTACTTCTTTCGACGATTTTGAGGCCGCCTTGTTAGGAAGAGGCTTCCCTGACAGGCGCTCTAAATCGAGCATAGGAGGTGGAGGCAGCTCGGTGACAGCGTAGACATGGTAGTCGTTGGTTGGGACTGCGTTCATCCATCCATTTGATGGTTGGAGAACAGAGAAGTCGACGGGAGTCTCGGGTATCAGTGCCATTCCGATCTGGGGTGGTTGGTTCTGGAGTTGTTGAGAAGCCGCACTGGAGCTAACATCCTTTTTCATTGGCTGAGATTGGGATTGGGGCTGAGCCTGGACAGGCTTCGGCTGTTGGATGTTCTTTTGCAGGTTTGGTGGCGGCAAGCCAGATTGGCTAAGCTCTTGCAAGAATCCAGAGAAGGCTTGAGAAGACAGCAGCATGCGAGTAAGATCAGTAAGACGGTTGTTCTCCTCTCGAAGTTGCTGGTTTTGCACACGCAGGTCGTTCGCTTCTTGCACTTTGGTGGCGACCTCTCCTTCGAGTTGGCTAATGTATTCTGTCGAGACAATTAGTACGTTGGATGTGATACTTCATGCAAGAAAACTTACCCTTCCTTCGAGAACGGAAAGCGCGAGCAGAAACCTTGTTTCTGAGCTGTCGACGTTCCTTGCTGGAGAGCTTCTTGCCCTCTTCGCTTGCCAGAAGACGTTCGTCCTCGTCCATTTCATCCTCATCCTTCTTGATTCGCGGCATGTTGGACATTCCACCGGAAGCACCATCGTCGTCTTCGGACACAGAAGCCGCGCTGGCCTGTCTCATGCGATTCAGGACCTTGGAGATGCTCTCTTCGACAAGGGGATCCTTGGCTGGTTGAGTCTTTGTAGGAGATGAACCGGGAAGAGGCTTTTGTCCCTGTGGACGTTGCTGCTGTTGACGGGCCAGCTGTTCTTGCTTCTGTGCCTGTTGCGCCTTTGCAAGAGCAGCCTGCTGGCTATGCATGCCAGGGTAGATTCGCTTGATAGGAGTAGAAGGGGTATTGGCCGGTGCCACCAAGGTATTTGGGCTGACGAACTGAGCCGGACCAGAGGTTTCTGGGAAGAACATTGTCGGGAGACCAATTGGCGAGTCATCGAAGTCCATATCACCCGGATTGCGGGAGAAGTCAAGGTCGTCAAGGTCGCTTAACGGCATGTTCAATGTCTCGGTGGGCATTATAAACCCTCCATTGTTCTCATGGTATTGTAGCCCAGAAGCCTTGTTGATGTTGAAAGTGCTCGCTAGGGCTCCTCGAGGAATGCCAGTCTGCTGATGGTACAAGTCGTATTGAAAGCTCGGACCCGGAAAGGTAGGGGTCGTAGTCGACGGAGGGACGGACGATTGGGGTGTCAGCATCGGAACAGGCTTGATGTCTGGTGAGTCGATGAGAAAAGAGTCGTAGTCAGTACTGAAGTTGGTGTTGAGTTCAGCCATGCTCGACTGAGCCGAATTGTAAGTCATGGCTGGAGAGGTGCGTGGCCTAGATGCCTGCGCGGGTCAATTGTGCCAAAAATAGGCACAAGTCGTTCGGATCGTCTGCAAACTCAATTCCACCTCAATCGTGCCCTTGGAAATCGTCGTCGAGATGATTGAAGGTGTAGTGAGGCGTATCGACGACGAGTTGGATATGAAACGAGTGAGTGTTCGAAGAGACAAGTGAGATGCAGGCGAGCAAGGGACAAAGCGAGACGGAGGATAAGGGAGCAGAAAGTTGGCAGCGCTGGAAGTGAGGAGCCACTCCCAAACCACACGCTTGGGGCCGACAGAGGCTGTGCTCGCGAGCTGCTACCCACTTTAGCAAGGCGAGCGAGTTACGAGGGCCACGAAGGGAATATCGGCGGTTTGTCGCTCCGTGATCAGCATGTCACTGCTGCAATCTCCACCAATGATACAAGATGTTGCCTCCGCCATTAGGCTGCTATGATTCTTTAATCCAGAGTTGCCAATGCATTGGCATTGCTGGCCCTTGATCATTGGCAGACCCCCAAGCTGCTTCTTTCACTGCAGACGCCCCGAGAGACGCTGTCGAGGCGCGGGTTGACTAGACGCCAAGTATTGGCCTTGCTTTGCGCAAGATGAAACCCTTCTGTGCCGGCAGTGAGAGGCGTCCAACAGCCCTCACGTGACTTCGGCAAGTCTGCCATCAGACGTTGGAGCGCTTCAATAATCATCAGGCTCGACATCCGCCGCGCTTCCGGACAACCATGCACCCTGTACTTAGGCTCTCTAGGTACTCCTGCCTCGTCCTCGAAGCGATTGGAAAGTGTCTGGTTAGAAACCTTTACCCGGTCATGGATATTGAGGCGCTCTGTCTTCAAGACTGTGTGCTGTGCACTAAGGTCATCTCCTCCTACCGTCGAGACTATTTACAGATTTCAGTCCAGGACAATGCTTGGACATACGTTAGGCGGAACTTCCAGCGATTTCCGCAAGTGGCTCTTCTGGCAGAAGCCACGGAGTTACCGGACTGTGGCGCTGAGATGTGGCGCTACGATGTAGCTTGTCGAGTCATGTGATGAGCCGACACCTTCTCCTCGGACCTCGTACGGACCTCGTACGAGATCCGTCATTGCCGGCGCAGCCCGTCGTTTGGTTTGTTCTTTTCCTCGATTCGAACATTTCAAGCATTAGTCACGGCTATACGCACTGCTTGTCTGCGGGGCCTGATCTATTAGCCCTAGCTGTTCAACAGAGGATGACAATGGTCCATTCCCACACTCTAGATGTCAGGAGTGTCCAGTGATTCTTGTCCCTCTTCATTATGGCTGAGGCCGGTTTCAAGCAGTTAATGGCGAGTCTCCTGCGCCAGACGAGGCCGCAGTCATTTCGCCACTCCAAACCACCTCGATATCCTCAGCGTCAGCTTTCTACCGCGGCCAATGCATCGTTGCAGCCTTCCGAGCCAGACTTACCTCAATGGCAGGCCCACAGAGTCGAAAGTCACCCTCGCGCTCGAGATGATCAAGTACCTGAAGTGAAGCGGCCACGCCTCGACAAGCTTCGAAGCGAGAAGGAGCCGCGACAATTCTCGTCTTTTCTTACCGACAACTATTCCCGCCAACATAATTACCTACGAATATCCATCACCGAGAGATGTAACCTGCGATGTCTCTATTGTATGCCCGAGGAGGGCATTCAGCTCTCACCACCAGCCCATCTACTGACCACGCCCGAAATCGTATACCTCGCAGAATTGTTTGTTGACCAGGGCGTGGATAAAATCCGTTTAACAGGAGGAGAGCCCACGGTTCGAAAAGACATAGTGGAACTCATGCATCAAATCGGGAAGTTGAGGAGTAACGGCCTCAAAGAGCTGTGCATAACGACAAATGGCATATCATTACATCGCAAGCTGGACTCGATGGTCGAGTCTGGCTTGACGGGCGTCAATTTGAGCTTGGATACACTCGATCCTTACCAGTTTGCGATTATGACGCGCAGAAATGGTCACGAGGCCGTGATGAAATCCGTTGATCGAATTCTGGAAATGAACAAGCTGGGCGCTGGAATCAAGCTGAAGATCAATTGTGTGGTAATGCGCGGCCTCAACGAACGCGAAATCTTGCCTTTTGTGGAACTTGGCCGGGATCAAGATGTGGAGGTTCGCTTCATTGAGTACATGCCATTCGACGGGAACAAGTGGTCGGAGAAGAAAATGATGAGTTTCGGAGAGATGCTGGCTCTGATACGGCAGAAATACCCCCATGTTGAGAAGGTACAGGACCACAAGAACGACACCAGCAAAACATACCAGGTTCCCGGTTTCGCTGGTCGAATCGGATTCATTACGAGCATGACGCACAATTTCTGTGGCACGTGCAACCGGCTTCGAATCACTTCGGATGGTAATCTGAAGGTCTGTCTTTTCGGCAACTCGGAAGTCTCCCTTCGTGACATTCTCCGTGAGTCAAACAATGGCCGACCCATCGATGCCGAAGCCATGGAAGCAATTCGCCAACTGGAAATGGACCGCCGTCAGCAGTTGAGCGGAAGTACTGGCGCCCTGGGATTCTCGGAGAAGGAAGCCAAACTGCTCGACGTAATCGGCATGGCGGTGAAGCGCAAAGAAGAAAAACATGCTGGCATTGGCGACCTGGAAAACATGAAGAACAGGCCAATGATCCTCATCGGTGGGTAAGCCTTGACATCCCAATCTATCCTCCCAGGTTTTCACGCAGTCACGACGAAAGGTGTTATGTGGCAATGTATACGATGCCAATGAATATAGATCTACTATGAACATAGATCTGCCTCGTTTCTGGTTCTTGTCCTGTTCAAGGCGCGTGCTTTGGTCAGTGATCCCGCTGACTCTGATTTTCTTGTAGATGATGCTCCTGCCACCCAGCAACTGCCAGCCTCGTCGTCCAGGACAGTTCTCACCAGACATGTCAGCCCAGTCTCTACCTTTCGCCAGCCACTCATACCAACTCACTTGCTCCACCCATCCGTTTCACCTCCTTCGTGGTCTCAGACACGCTGTTATTCCTCGCTCTTCCCGGGTCTCCCGGCCGGGTTCAGAAAATTCAGTAATTCAAGTTCATTGACCCGAGCACGGTTGAGATATAGTGCATTCCGATATGTGCACGGCCAGCCTACACATCGACATATTCCAACCACGTTGCTAGAAAATATCCCAGCAACATCCAGCCGGACAATGGAGGACAGTCAAGAACGCAGGTCGTCAGGAGCATCGCCCGAGGCTGATATTGTTATCAAGGGCACAAGGTTCAGCAACTGCTTGAATAGCAACATTCCAGAACGTCGCAAGTTGAAAATCGCAAGAGCTAGGACTCGGGCTCGGGCTCGACGCCACCCAAGCACTTATGGTAGAGACAGGAATCAAACTCCACCAACTCGTCCGCCTCTTGGGAGCTCACCATCGGTTGGGATATCTTCAGCCAGCGCCCCACAGGCTGTGGAAAACGAGCGACAGAGTCCGGCAAACCTCTCTGACTCCGTCGCGGGAGACGGCACTGCAACCACCGCTGACGCGGTCCCAACACTCAATCATCTTACAGCCGATGGCGAAGCGCACATGGTCTCCATTGCACAGAAGAAACCGACGTCTCGCTCCGCGACAGCTACCAGCTTGCTCCTCTTCTCGCACGAAGGCACTTACAGCGTGTTATTTGCTTCACGTCTTCAAAAAGGCGATGCCATGGCTGTGGCCCGCATCGCGGGTATACAAGCCGCGAAGAAGACCTCTGATCTCATCCCACTCGCCCACCCGGGGCTCAACATCACAGGCGTCACCGTCCGCCTGGAGCCCTTCAAGGGAGACAGTGTGCCCTTTCCTCTCTCAGAAGCGTTCAAGCAACCGCACGTGGCTGCTGACGTCGAGACCCTCCACGGCGGAGTCCTCGTCACAGCCACGGTCGCATGCGAGGGCAAGACGGGCGTGGAAATGGAAGCCATCACTGCCGCCTCCGTGGCCGGACTGACCATGTACGACATGCTCAAAGGCGTGGACAAATGCATGGTTCTAACAAGCACACGGGTCACCGCGAAAAGTGGTGGCAAGTCTGGAGACTGGGAGTGGGACCATAAATCACACCAACGCATTGTCCGCCACGACCAGAAACCCACCTCTGGTGAGCGCCAGAAATCCCCGACCAAACAACAGAAGATCCAAAGCGCTGTTCAGGAGACCACAAGGACCGCCCCCGTGACGGCGGAGGACATGAAGCTCCAACGGCTGAAGCGGTGGAGCAACCACCACGAAGCCAACCGAGAGCAGGCAGGATAAAGCGTAGCAGTCCGGCGGTCTGAGATTCATGGAACGAGGGTGATTGAGTGATTGCCGTGGTCCCTGGGAAAATCAGCCGAAGTCGATTCTTGCGAGTTTTGTGATGTGCGCACTTGATTGTCCTGTGTTGAGTGTGTACTCAAGCAGGCATCTCGATGTAAAGTATGTATATAGATTCTATTGTGTATATGTACATGTGTATGTGTTCACAGTACATGCCATGTATATATTCCCCCTGCTGAATACGCCTCAACCATCCTCAAAGGCTGAGTGGGCTTCACGGCATGGAGACCGACTTAAGATACCTAGGTACCTGGTACACGGAGCCCCAGGAAGCAGTTGAACAGATCCGAAATCCGCCGAAATGCGTAGCCGATGTCTATCCAATATATCTATAAGGTATGCACGAGCACTCCTTACGGATCTGAAATCCGACAACGATAAAATGTAGCTTCGCACTGCACTGTATCGTCTTTCCATGCCGTAAAAGTAGTCTATAGTCTATAGGGTATCGTATCTTCTTGTACTATATATGCTCGCTCAGAAGAAGGGGCTCAATCACCAATCCATTCGCTCGCTCATCTCAGCCACACCTGCTCGAACACGCCACGCAGGGGTTTCTGCCCCGAGATCTCCTCCATGAACCTCTCGCTCACGGGCGTGATCAAGGGGGACCAGCGGTTGAATCGCGTCTTGGCCCAGTCGAGGCAGAAGTGGTGGGTCCTCAGAAACTCAGGGGGTTGAGATCGCGTTGCGGGGTGGGCTTGCGGCCGGGGTGGCGTGGGCCTGTACGTGGACGTATTGAAGACTGGCATGGGGCATGTCGTATGCGTGGTGCTCGTATTCGCGGACATCGTTGTCGGCTCTGACTGAGGTGTGATGTTCCACCTGCTTTCGTAGATGGTAGGGCCGATGGCGAGGTGCGTCAACGCGGGTCTCGGGCCGCCGACACGAGCCGGAAACACCCACTCCACGAACTTGATGGCGTACTCTTTGATGGTGTAGTCGCCCAGTTGGCTTAGGGTCTGGTTTTCGGGGAAATTGCGGACGTGAATGGTCTTGAGGTGCTGGAGGGTTGGGAGGGCCGTCTTTCTTAGCCGCACCATTTCATCTGTCCAGGGGAATCCCATGCCTAGCTCGACGAGGTTGGGACACAATCGGGCAATGTCGTTGATGGAATCTTCCCAGAGATCGTGGCTGTAGCCGCCGACGCCGAACGGGCGGGATGTATCCATTGTTAAGTGCTCGCGGGGTTGGATGCGTGATTCAAAGACGAGGGTTTCAAGGGTAGGACCGTGCTCGGCGATGAACGTGCTAGGCCGCTCTAGAATGGCGGCATTCTCGAACAACAAAGACAGAGTGCGCAGGCCAGTGAAGGAGGTGAGGAAGCGGACCGTCGCGTCCTTCAGGGCGGCCGTGGGATTTTCGTGTCGGAAGAGGAAATGTTTCAGGGAAGGGGTCGCTTGTGGGGTTTGGGGTGCTTCGGGCGACGTGGCGGTCCAGTGGAAGGTACTTGCGATGGATTCCAGTAGTTCAATGCTTCCGGGGCAGGATTCTAGTGCAAGCCGCTCGAGGCGGCAGAAGAAACGAGCTTGCGACATCGATGCTGGCCGGAGGAGTCCGACGTCCAAGCCGGACAAAGAGAGCTCGCGGAGCTGGGGAAATGAATCCAGTGCGTATGCTGAGGTGAGGAAACTCTCCCTCGGCTGAGGTATCTGGTTGTAGAGGCCGAGTCTGTTGTGCTGGTATCGTTCTATTAGTTGCTTCTCTTGTCCCAAGGATAGACACTGTAAGGTCCTCTTGTTCGCGGATATGATTTTTTCCACGGCATCTCCTTCATTCACGGTGCGAGCATCCAAGACGCTGAGGGCCTCGGGCACAAGGCTCTGTTGCCCGGATTCAAGATCGTAGAAGGAGAGGTGTTGGAGCGTGTTCCCGTGCCGACGGGCGAGGAAATCGAGCACTTGGGGACTCATTGGTCTTTGGTGGAAAAACCTGGAGAGCATCAACGGCTGCAAAAGCACTTGACGAGAGACCTAGAGCTTACTCGAAGCGTGTCAACTGATTTGCAGGGATCTTCTCAAGGAGACCATTGACAGCGGCGCTGAAGGAACCTGCATCGGAGATACGTCTGCGTTTGTGCATTGAATTTCTCCTTTGGATCCGCCCATTTCTCATCGTGAACTCCCGTACTGACTGGGTGACTGGCTTGCGGAAGGTTGCCTTCCGACTCTGGTCCAGTTCGAAGTCGATGGTGTGGTACAGTCGAGCCATAACCATGTCTTCCAGAACACGGCATGTTTGGGACAAATTGTATAGGTCTCTCCGGTTGTCCAGCTAGTCGCTTGTCAGCCAATTTAGGCTCTTACTCAAAATTGTGACGTCGAACTTACAAAGTCGACAATGTGGAGTTTGACTTCGGTTGGGAGACTCAGCAACCGACAAGGCTGTGGAAATAGGGATGCCTCCATGGTGATGGTCCCAGTATGAGAGCACGGATGTCGATGTCCACGTCGCGGGCGGAAGAGGTCTCGGTCACTGCAATGTCTTCATGTTCCATCCTTCAGTATGGAAGACTCCGGTTTGGATGGGGCCGGTCGCATTTATGATCACTGGTGACTATGCGCCATAGCGGTGGGGACTTTCGCGTTCAGCCTTGACATCAAGGGACGCGTGCCAAGGGAAGGCGAGACCACAGTAAACTGTCAGCATGCGTTAAATAAGGTCGCATTATGTCAGATCGGCTGCGTTCTGACGAAACGGCAGTCGATTCGGGAAACGAGGACTGTCTCGACGTAGACATGAGGAATGAAAGGAGATAAGCGGCGTAGCGGCGACGGGCCTTTCGTGCATGTTGGTGATGCGGTCGAAGCGCGTCTCGACCAGTCAAGATGGCGCAATTCCATTGTCCTCAAAACTTGTCGGAAGCGGTGCGAGCGCGACTCGGCACCGTGCAGCAGCAACAGCGCGTCGAGCACATTATTCACCAGCAACACGCTCCCACTCATCTGGACTCGGAATGCCAGCGGAAAAATGACGATGGACGATCATCCGTGCAGGTACAGGATCCGCCGGATACAGGCCTGTAAGTGCAGGTGGGTACATACCTATTGTAACTTGGACGTCGTAATGGCGCAGTGGGTACGGAGTCCACAGCCGCAACGGCACGCTCTTAAAAATACTCGTTAAGGATTGCTGATCTTGGTTTAGATCCTAAGCCGGCCACCTACACGCTACAGATAGTCAACCATTCACGTCTGCTGCACCTTTACCGTTTATTTATTAGGTACTCTGTACCTGGCAGGGTGGTGCGGCCGAGAGCCCGGCCAGTTTAACTTCCCATTTTAGGTCAATCGGATGGATCTTTCAATTTGGCAGGCAGATCCTCCTAGCCTTGCACTACTGGTGAGGCTGACCGTATCCGAAGCGAGCGTGCTCCGAGCAGGACCGCCGTTCGACGGGAGGGGCGCGAATACTCAGCGGACTATCGTCCAGGCGATTAAGGATCGCTGGATCCAAGCCCGAGTGCCCAAATGCAAGGCACATGGAGGCTCCTTGACCAGTTTACAGGGTGAAGGAGGAATGTTGCTTTTATCTTGTTAGCTCTAACAATGCCCTTGGCTAATCTTCCTGTGGCCTTTGCGTTGTATAGCAGTCGTATCTTGCGCCTACCCTGGTTCTGCGATGCAAATTTTTCACTGCTTCATCATGGTTTGCTCAGTCAAATTCCAAGCTGACAATGGGTTGCAGCCTTAATAAGTGGGGGAAAAGGATACTTCGGAACTGGCTACTCTTACATCCGCCATCCCAGCAGCTTACCTTGCCACGCCAAAGTGAGCTTGTCATTGAGAAAAGCTTGAATGTTTAGGAACATTCCGACCCAGTGGCATGGGAGCATCCACAGTCAATATCCGGACTCCCGCAGGAGGTACAGGACGCCCACCAAATGCACGACGTCCACGACATCCACGAAGCGGAGCATTGTACCACAATGTACGATGGAAATTGGTCTTGATCCAAGAATCATGTCCGCAAGCGGCGTGATACGCAGAGAGTCGAGTGAACTGCAAGAGGTCACTGGTTCAGAGCATCATGTCAGCCCGTTGATGGCGCATTCTACAACAAAGTTGGACTTGTCTTGGGATCCAAGACTGTGTCGAAACCCTCGTTCTCCAGACAGACAGCTGGCCATTTCCCGTCCTGGCTCTCCTTAGGCCCAGCGTGCGGAACGAGGGAGTATGCTGACGGCGCTTCGGTGTCAGGAGCACACATTGTGAGACGCTGATCTGATTTTGTATTCTCTGCTGCTTCACCCCTCTCTTCTTATAACCAGATGCACCTGATCCCGGCAAAGCTGAAACTTCCGATCTCGTTGGCTGCAGCCGTCGTTCAGCCTTGCAAAAGGCGGCGCAGTGAAGGACAGGGACGCAAAATGAGTCGTCGCTCGTACAAAGGCCGCATTTAGAGCCAGCTCTGGTAATGGACCCTTTGTCGAGAGTAGCAAGGTGCTTCAAGAGGCAGGAGGTACGAAGTAAAAATAACAGTGGTCAGTGAATGGCTGTTGGATATTAGCTGAGGTCTTTGTTGAAACTTCGATAGCGCAATTCCATGTCTTCAGGTGAGCTATTCTCTGGTCCAGCATTTCATGTAGGTAAGGTGTAGATTGTGTGTCCTCGGTGTGTTCTTCCTGTCGTGTGCCTGTACAGAGTACAGTACGGAGTACGGACTATGGACATCTGAGATCGAGTGGCGTCGTTGTACCCATCTCACCCACCGTATCGTGCACTGGTGTCTTTGTACGTGGCCGCAATTAGGCTTTGCGGAGGAATATAATTCCACTGCCGTTTTGCGCAAATAGAGGCCAGCTTTGAGATCAGCTTTGAGATCCTCAAGAGGTCCTGCTTCACGCCTCATCCAGTACCAGGATTTGGACCTCTCTCCATAACTGGCAACCGGTGACCTGAGGAGCACCGTAGCGACTGCCGGCAGCTCATGTCTCCTAGGGACTTGTCCTTCCTTCTTGTAAGATCTTGATCCGTTCGCTCCTTCTTGTACCATCCAGACCCGGGGTTTTCTTCGTCTGTGGCTAAGGCCTCTTGGTCACTGACGGCTTGGCTGGATACCTCAAGCTGGGTTGGGCGCTGTGCCATCGTCGTATGAATGCTTGCGCTAAGCCGCCCGAAAATTCAAGCACAATGCGGACTGGTTGACGGCGGGACAATGGGGTAGATGTGAATGGTGTGGACACTTGATGAGACCATGTGAGTGTACCTCTCGGTGGACATGAATGCCTGTGTCAAATCCAGACTGGTTCTATTCATGACATCCGGCCGAAAGTCCCACGGGGTGCACAGCGACGGGTGCGGCAGTATGCCAGATGCCGGCACTTTTGAGAAGGAGGATGATGTCGTTCCTTCTTCGCGCTCCAGCAACACCATCATCCCCTCGATTAGTCGTCGTCGCTTAGTCGCCCACCGCCACCACAATGTCGCGCCAAGGAGAAGATGACGCCAAGAGCACACAGAGTATTGATAGCCTTGAACAGCGTCTCAAATTGGCCCAGATCAACAGTCGCCTGAACGAATTCATTCCTGATCTGCCGGTGGCTGACTTTACTCTTCCTAGAGACTTCCTCAAAACCGATAGTGACGAAGAGCTGGCTCTGAAGGCGCACACTACGGACAAACGACCTTTGTTCTGCCTGGCGAATCTGCTTCCTCTTCCTTACAACCAGAATCGTTTACTCTGCGACCTCCGTCCTCGGCCTCGCCAGCAGAACCCGAGATGGATCGTCGACTTCGTCAGAGCAAGCCACGCTTGTTACTCATGGGGCAGCGCAGGTACGAACTGCTTTCACCGTCTTCTGTCCTTGATCACTGACAAAATTCGTAGAAGTGGCAAATCGTCGATCACCAACGTCGTCTTCCACAAAACCCCTCCTCAAGAGACTTTGTTCCTCGAATCCACCACTCAAATCCAGAAAGATACCATGCACTCGTTCATGGACTTCCAGATCTGGGATTTTCCTGGTCAAATTGACTACTTCGATCCGACTTTCGACACCAACCAGATCTTTTCCGAAATCGGCGCGCTGGTCTGGGTCATTGACGCACAAGACGACTACTCAGAATCCTTGAATCGGCTCACTACCACAATTCTCAATCTCCAGACCACTTTTCCTCACGTCAATGTCGAAATCTTCATCCACAAAATCGACAGCTTGAATGATGAGTTCAGAACCGAAGTTTACCAGGACATTGCACAACGTGTCGGCGATGACTTGAACGACGCAGGCTATATCAACCCCAATGTCACCTATCACATGACCTCTATCTACGATTACTCCATCTTCGAGGCATTCTCCAGGGTGGTCCAGAAGCTGATACCGCATCTGGACACCCTGGAGAACCTCATGAACACCCTGGTCAACAACAGTGGGATGGCGAAGGCGTACCTCTTCGACATTTTGACCAAGGTCTACGTGGCCAGCGACACGCGTCCGGTGGACATGGAGGTGTACGAAATGTGCGCCGACTACATCGACGTCACTGTCGATATCACCGACTTATACGGCCATGAGCGCAAGCATGGCGTGGTGTTAGGAGACCAGATGGAGGAGACGGAGTCGTCCATGATCATTCATGACGGCTCCATGATTTATCTCAAAGAGATGAATCGATATCTCTGCTTGGTGACCATCATCAAGAACCCCGAGGCCAAGGACAAGAAGGGCCTGATTGACTACAACGTCCACTGCTTCCAGGACTCGTTGAACGAGTTGCTGGCGCAGGCGTGGCGCGAGGACAAGGGGGGCGGAGAGGGCCAGGATGGCGAGGGTGTGGCCCAGGAGGGTCTACAGGCCCAGGCCGAGAATTGAGGGACGGGTAGGCAGGCCCTATCAGACGGCGGATAGCACTAGAGTCAAGCGTAGGCAACGAGGCTGACTCAATGAACAAAGAACCATGACCCAAAGCGTAGCTCTCAGCTCATGACCAGTTTGTACGTGGAGGCGTGGTTGTGCTTCTCATTCCATGGCTGCTACAAGTGTAGGTCATTCCTGCCAAGCCACACCATTTTGCCTCGTCAGACGCCCTTCTACGCCACGCCAGGTAACAGCAGCCTCCATCTACATGCAGGCTCGCTTCCCTTCAGAGTGCGAAAATCCTATCAGTCGACTGGGCGACGTTGATGGCATCGGGTCACTCGCTGACGAGACTCAACTGATCCAGGAGACTGATAGTGCTGGTGCCAGCCAGACCCGCAATTCATTAAATCCACGAATCCAATTTTTGCGCCTTTCCGCCATCGTCAGAGGACGACAAGGCACCTTGGGGGCAACTCCTCCATATCAGCCTGTACCGCCATCTTTGCATCGTCAGTTGGATGTTGACCAGGAGCCAGTCGAAGATCGAGCGGATACCAGAACGCCGTCGCCGTTGCGCAATCTCGCTCTCTCAAATTGCTATTGCGGGCATGAGTCACCACACCGTCACATAACCGCATCGCCCACCCTTTACACTCGGCTCTCAAATCTACCTAAAAGAGCGATCAAGATGCCTCAGACAGGATTTCAGGCTCTCATCCTGTGCGGCCCAGGCATTGGACTCAACACCTTCACCAGCGTCCCCGCGGAATTTCCCAAGGCGCTCGTGGCAGTCGCAAATCGGCCGATGGTCTGGTATGTGCTGGACTGGTGCTACCGCATGGGCGTGACAGATATCACCCTCGTCACGCCGCCAACATCGAAAGACACGATCGCCGCTGCTCTGGCTCAAAATCCATACCTCACGAGCCTGCCCTCGCCGTCCGCAGATCTCTTAGCCCCTGCATCACTAGAATACACGACTCCCACGGCGGAGCTACTCAGACTGCCAGAGGTGCAGGAGGTGATCAAGTCAGACTTTTTGCTACTCCCCTGCGACCTGGTCTGCGGTATTCCAGGCGACCAGTTCCTAGAAACGTACTTCACCCGGTTGGGTGGGCCTGGCGGCATTGGTGCAAGCTCCGGTCTGGAATACGATATGTCACGAACCGAGTTATTGTCACTCGGTGGCGAAAGGCGAGGCCGTCGTGGTGGCCTATCGATATGGTATAACACTGTGGACCGCGAGGAAAGCGTCAAGGGCGAAGAATGCGACTTCATGTGTACGACGAAACTCGATTCCGAGCACAACCTCCCTCTAGCAAAGACTGCCTCTCTACAATGGCAGGGCGTACTCCGCAAGCTGGTCTGGGCGATGCCGATGTCCGAACTATGGGACCAAGTCGAGGAAGACAAGTCATTCAAGATCCGACAATCTCTGCTGCGCAAGCACGGCGCCATCAAGTGCATGACCAGGTACCGCGACTCGCACATCTACTTCTTCCCCTACTGGATCAAGGACTTTGCCAAATTCAACGAAGACTTTGAATCCGTCAGCGAAGACCTGGTGGGGACGTGGGCGAAGCTGGAATGGCGCAAACCAAGCTACCGCGAGAGATTTGGCGCGCGAAAGATATTCTCTGCGCAGACGCGGCTGGAGAATGGGAATGTGCACGCGCACGAGCGGCCGATCGAAGAAGAAATCGACCTCCTATCGCTGAGCAGCACCCACGTCACAAAGCACCCGGCACCAGAGTCTCTCTCGGCACCACGCACCGCCCGCCTCGCGTCCCGCGTCCACGTCGACGAAGAAGATCGCACCCTCTCCCCCCAAGACGACAACACCCAAGCGGCCCTCATCGAAGACTCAGGCCCTGTTCCACTGGTGCCTCCCGTCCTCTCATACATCCTCCCATCTGCACCCGATGCGCCACTGGTTCGCCGCGTTGATAGCACACCGCTGCTCCTCTCGGTCTCCCTGTCGCTGGCAAAACTCACATCCCTGGAAGAACATCTTGCCGCGGGCTCCAGGTCCACGGCCTCGCCTTTTGCGCACGCCGCGAAGATCCACGCCACCGCCACGATTGCACCTCGCGTCACCATCTCCCGCTCCGACACGCTCATTGACAGCAACAGTACCATCGCCACGCAGTGCGTGATAAAGAACAGCGTTATCGGCGCGTCCGTCTCCATTGGCACAGGAACGCGAATCACAGGCTGTGTGATTATGGACGGCGCAACGATTGGCGATAAATGCGTATTGACGGGCACGGTGGTCGGCAAGAAGAGCAAGGTCGGGAATAAATCCTCGTTGACGAACTGTGAGGTTCAAGACGGGAATGTTGTTGCTGATGGCACTGAGGGCAAGGGTGAGAAGTATCTCGTCGGAGGGCTCGAAGATGAGATGGAGGAAGGAGAAGGGATGGGATTTGATGAGGGTGAAGAAGACGAGGGATCGGGTGTGGATGAGAATTAAACGACACAGACGAGAGGGGAGAGGTGGGAGATGCAAGCAATTACCATACCAACAGCAAGCCAGGTCAGGCTTCCTAGAGATGGATATTTCCCTCTACCACGATGTTCCTCTATGAAAGGATGAGTGCAACACAGTATCTATCGTCAATCAAACAACGATTCGAATACCAGATGTTATGCACTTTGTCCAGCTCAGCCTGAACGCCGTGCGGTGGAAACCAGGGAGAGGCGTTGTGCGATAAGCATCAAAAGCTACATTCGAGACCTGTTTAATCGATGCATGCGGGAATGGTTCGGATTTAGACCTGTGAGTCGAGACGTGGTGTTAAGCCAGGATACAGTAGATCGCCTCGTTCCAGTCCGACAAATGGTGTTATTTCGGCTGCGGCATGAGCGATGGGTCAAGGATGGCGGATATGGAAAGCGGAATGATACATGCCACGAAAGGCACAATGCACTGCTCGAATCTCAAACCTAAGAGTAAAAAGATGAGCAAGTGACAAGGAGGAGGCTGAAACACTAAGAGAAGATAAAAACATTTATGTCAGGAATGGCGACCAGAGCTTACTAAGCCTGCCAAGAGGACGCCTTCATCTCTCATGCAGCTCGCATGAGAGTCTTACCCTCCTTTCATGCTTTGAGTCCTGTTTGACCTAGAGGTCTAGGGACACCTAATATCATTGAATCCCACCACTATTACTCTCTGCCTATCGCTATAGGCTGTTCCTAACAATTTATGGCCTTCTGGAAGCGGCCTTTGGAGAGGTCCAGAAACATCTGAAATTTAGGGGTGCGAGGTGGTTGAGGTAGCATGACGGGGCGTTAATCTCACTCGCCCGGAGTACCCTCCGCCCGAAGTACGAGGCACCCTAAACTGCGGGCTTACGTTGCCACTGCACTAACCACCAGTAACTGCTAACTGCTAACTGCTAACTGCTAAATGCGACAAAGACCGTGACACTTGAATTGGAATGGACGCTCAACAGGCACCCTGCACTACACTGGTGTTGTCGCATTTGGTGACATGCGCCCTGTCACCTGTAAGAGCCGTGTTCCGACATATGTCTATAACCTATATACTAGTAACGTTGCAATCGGTAGGTTAGTATAGAAACCGCGGGTAATATCCTGTTAGGAATAGACCTATATGAATAGGTAGAGTACAGCGATTAGGTGACCGTTAATAATTAGGCTATCCCTTGACTATGCGTCCTAACTAGATAAACTCGAAGCATGAGTGTCAGGAATGGCGGTACTCGAGATGTAAAAAGGGGTGTATAAGCTAATATCTATCTAGCTATCGACGAAGACTCAAAGCATGCGGAACGAGGAAGGTTCGCATGCGAGGAGCAAGCTATATAGGCCTAGAGCGCTAAGCCCATCTAGGCGTTCCTGACAATTATCCCCCCCTAGGCGTGTCGTCCTCGACACGCACCCAACTCTCAACCAACTCGCAACCGACTCTTGTATAGTAACTGTACCGCTCTCTAGTCACTTTATATAGGTAGCCCCCGAGTTCACGGAGTAATACGCCACCTATCCTTTTAGTGCCTATAGAGCCCGCCTCTTAGTTACTTATATAGGCAGCCCCCGAGTCCACGGAGTAATACGCCACCTATCCTTTTAGTGCCTATAGAGCCCGCCTCTTAGTTACTTATATAGGCAGCCCCCGAGTCCACGGAGTAATACGCCACCTATCCTTTTATACCGTAGAAGCCCGTCGCAGAGTCCACTGCGACCCGTATACGAGTCCACGCATACCCGATAAACAGAATCCACTAAGTACCGCCCCCACAGAGTCTACTATAAGTCGTATGCGAACATACTCCGAGTATAGCGCGAATCCCCCTCTATCCTTAGTAAGTTAGGCACGCCGCAAGATACCACCGTAGGCCCTTAGGCTATCTGTAGGTTACTATACGGTTATATACTAAGTCCACCTAGCTAGAGACGGTCCTACTTTTACTCCGTATAGTGCTTCGCAATATGGCCCTCTTTACCGCAGCGGTAGTATGCCCTATTACCTGTACTCTTCTCTCCCGCGCGTCCCGCGCGCGACTCGCTACCCTGTTGTATAGGAGTAGCAACCTTCTCTTGCTGGCTAACCTTAGCCAGTCGCTGCGTAAGGCCTTGTATTTATACTCGCGTACGGATCTTACGCGCCTCGCGCAGGACCGCGGTGCGCAGCTCAGGCCGTAAGCAGTTTATAAGGACCTAGGCCTTTTATTCCTTAACCGTAAGGTTAGGGATCTTATCCTCGAGGTCCTTAATCGCTAATATAAGCTCTCGTACCGATAATTTATCTTGCTGAAGCCTCTTAAGCTTTAAGGATACGTCTACTATACGATTCGTAGGGTCCTGGACTATATCTCGCAGTACTTACTTAAACTCGGGCCAGGTTATAGGGTGAATTAATAGGCGGGACTACTGCCGAAGGGCCTCGTCGCGAAGGTAGGACGCGGCGACTACGACTCGCCTGCGTTCGTCGTGCTTCTTAACCGCGCCGAAATAAACGTTGTAGCCTAGAAGGAAGTCGCGGAGGTCTTTAATTAAGGCGCCTCGGTATAATAGCGAGGGGAAGGCGCGCCTATATCGTATAGTTAGGTCCTGGGACGCGGGTCTCTTACTTAGCGAGCTTCCTACGCCCTATATGCTACTCGCGGGCGACCCGCCTGCGAGTTCCCTTTCTATCTCTTCAATCTCTTCTAGCTGTCGCCTCTCCTGTATAGCTACGCGGAGTCGCTGGTGTTTCTCCGCGATCGTCTCGGTACTGGCGTCGCTGTCGTCGCTAGG